GTTTGACTACCATCTTGTAAGCTGTCTCCTGTCTGCTTGTTTTCACGTTTATCCAAAGGAAATCTCAGCTGACATGGAGCTAATAACCATATTACAACAACTGATTCTGATACTTCTATGTAGTGTCTTGGGGGTCCATGAAATGCTTTTAAAATGGAGCTAGAGCGAGAATAAAGACATGAATCGTGCCAGGCTTTGGGAACACAGAGATAAAGTAACACCCGAGCATCATGGACTGGCAGGGAGGCGGTGGTGTAAACCATCCCTCAGTGCAGTGTGCACTGGGTTAAGAGCTGAGATGCAGCTCAGATGAAAGACATGAATTGCAGAGGGCCCAGCACCTAGCTCTGCTTCAATCATGACACTTATCCCTAGCAGATGGTTCTCTTTTGAAAATGACACTCGTCCGTTTCAAAGCCCTGTGCTAGCCCACTTGAGAGCCACGTCCTCCGGCTCCTGTCGTGGGCCTGAGGGAGAAGGGAAACAGCGGAATTGGCTCCATTTGGCAGGATTCTCCACACATCCTTGCTTTTCTCAATTTACGCTGTGTGTCGGGAACACCTAGGAGATTTGAATTTGGTGACATTTAAAGTGGTACATGAAGCAGATTTGAGGATGCACGAGAGAGGAAAGAAAGAATGAATACAAATGAGGAAGCCAATTCTATTCTAGAACCTTCTGGAAATATCGTTTGGGGTTGAGAAACTATTGTTAACAGCATTCGTTTTAAGCATTCTTTCTTTTTGCCTTCATGCCTTAAGAAAAATGTCTAGAAACATCAGAAAGAAAAGATAAACACAAGATTATGGAAAGTTCAGCTCTGTTCTCTTAGCTATAGGCTTCCTGGATCATGTGAAAGACTGAGATTCTAAGCAGGGCCATAAAAGGCCCTAATGGTTCTCTTTGTTGAATGCTTCCATCCTAGTTTGCTCTTGTCTAAGTGGCTGGCATATTTTTAGATAACACCCAACCGAAGACTTATTGAGACTACAACAATGAAAAATAACGATGGTGAAAAAGCTCCCAATGAGACGGATGAGATCTTTTTTCCCCCACTGTTTCTCATGGATAAAAAGCATTTACCTGTGTCAGCACAGTGATAAAAATATCTGCTTACAGGACAGAAAGACACAGCCTTTTTTGGGAGAATACACTGTTTATATTCTGACAACCATCCCTTCCCTTTCTACTGGCTAGTCTAAGAGAACTAGAAACTATGTTTTCTCATTCTAATTAAATTGGTTGTCTTAACTGTATAAAAATAACACAGGGAAAATTTGTCCTTCATGCTTCTTGGGAGGAAGGTGAAACTTTCTTTCTTTCCTTTTTTTAAAAATATTTATTTAATTTTATTTATCCATTCATTTATTTTAATTTAACTAGAGAGAGAGAAAGTGAGAAAGCAAGTTGCCAGGTCCAGGATGTGAACAGTGGTCTGCCATGAGGGAGAGTCCAGTGCCTTAACCACCACACCACCTGCTGGTCTCAGAAGCTGAAACTTTCTAGCTATCCCATAATTTGGGCCTGGTCAGAATACGATTTTAGAGTAAGAGACTAGGATCAAGCACACATCCTCTGAGAGCAGACTTAGTCTCTCTTGAACCAAATGAAAGTCACTTTCCAATGTTATAACTGGACTTAGGGATAATGATCAAGAATTGTCCTTTCTTTTTTGTTTTCTTATTATTTAAAAAATTTTGACATGGTGTGTGTGCACTTGCCAGAGAAAGAGAGAAAGACAGAAGTAGAGGGAGAAAGCCCCGCCCCATGGAGCGTGGTCACATCACCACCCCTTGCACCCCATTTCTCAATACTGTCAGGACTTTGGGTAGAGGGAGGAAGCCCCGCCCCATGGGGCGTGGTCACATCACCACCCCTTCCACCCCATTTCTCAATACTGTCAGGACTTTGGACATGTGCATACATGTACCCAGTATGTTTTCAACGTGTTAGAGCTGGGAGTTGAACTTGATTGGCCATGGAGGAATCTGGCTCCCTTAATCATGAGGTCACAGGGCCAGCTCAGGAATGTTTAGTTTCTAGGGATCCAAATGAAAATATCCACAATGTTCAGAAATATTTTGGTCATCAGCTCTAGCCCAGGGGGGATGCTGGAACAAGGAGAGGAAACTTGACCGAGTCTGCCTTTCTGTTTCTGCTCCTCCTTAGTGTCAGCTGTGTAAGCAAATTTTTGTCCCACGCGGGTGTGCAGGGGAACAAACCAAGTCTTCTACCCCAGCAGCCCACCAAAGACGTGCAGACCCTCAGCAGCCAGAGTACCTAACATGTCAAAGCACGCGCCACTCTCCAGCCGGTGTTTCCTGTACAGGTTCTTCAGGACCTTCGCGCTGCCAAAGCGCTTAAAGCGGCTCTTCACATTATTGTAGAACCATTCCAGGGACTGGGTCCTCAGAAGCCTGAGGGAAACAGAATCAGAAGACAGAAAAATTAGATCTAACCTGGTGAATTGCAAAAGTTGCTACAATGCTTTGTAACTCCTTCCATCAAGATGTGGGGTTTCTTTCTCCATCCCTTGAATCTGGACTGGCCTTGTGACTTGTTCTGACCAGGGGCAGGGGTGCAGGGATGCTTCATGAGTCCTGAACCCCACAGTGTCCTCTCTGACTACTTCTGGGAGACCTGCAACCCCTCAACAGGTGAATAAGCTCAAGGGGATGAGACACTTGGTCCACTCACCTTTCTTATCCCAGCCAATAGCCAGTCAACCTGCAGAGAGATGAGTAAGGCCATTGACCACTATCTGACTGCAAATCTGTGAGTGAGCCTGGGCGAACCCCACAGCAATAACCACTGTGTCCACCTAAGCTAGAAAATGCCACTAAGCATTTTCTAAATTTGGGGGTACTTTGTTATGCAGCAAAAACTAACTGATACATCTGCTTAATCACAGGCTTTCTATTTGGCTTTTACTGAATGAATGGCATTTCTAATTCGGCTTGGGGAAATTAAAAGCACGAGGGAGACATTGAGCTCTGTGGCAAAATTCTCTGATCTCTTTCTCAATCAGCTGGAAGCTCAGTGGCAAAGCAGTGTCTGCATAATGCTCTCACAGTCTGTAGAAAAAAAGGACAAGATTCTTTTCTTTTGTGCCCGGTAAGGACATATTTCCAAAGCCCGTCCATTTTAAGAAGAGCTTTTGTTGTTATTTTTCTTCTTATGAACAGAATGCCACATACTCAATTTAGAAAGTTGGGAGGAAGAAAACGAATACAAAGGACTTCGGATTCAATGGGAATCGGATTCAATGGGAATTGGATTCAATGGAAAAACAAGCACACATTTAGCTGTTCTTGCTCCCCAGACACCAGTGAAATGTGAGAAGACATCCACATACATGAAAGTGAATAGTGAGGGTGAGCAGAACCAGAGATTTTGACAGGCATCTGGAAAACTAAAAGTGAGTCTCAGCATGAAAATAAGAGGATGTCGTCCTTCGAAAAAGACAGAAAAGCTAGAACTCTGACAAGGAGGCCCAATTTTAGGTTGGTTGATTCAGAGAGTAGGTTTGGATTATGACCTAGTATTCAAAAAGGTAATTTAATGGTTGTGTGGACAACAGTGAGGCCTCTTGGC